GTGTCTCCAGGATCTTGTGATGAAGCAGGTACTCCATGCAGGGTCCCGTCTCACCCGACTCCCTCTCCGCCTCCTCCTGGATCAGGATGTCCAGCATCTGCTCCAGGTGGGAAGGGATGTTGGTGTCCGTTACTGGGGCTTTATCATCTGCAAACAGGAAGAAAATGCGCTTTGTTTAGTGAGTCACATTAATCATGCAGACTATATTGTGGCAGATGGCATTCTAGCGGATATTTTCTATATGAATATGATGACATATGTTATTCCAAAAAGTGCGTGCATACAGGACCGACAAACTCTCGCGGTTCCTTCATTGGACAGAGTTTGGGTTTGTGAGGCTGAGTAATGATGTAGAAATATTACCTGAAGTTTCTATGTAATAATGTGTGATGGCCTTCCAGTGGTAGACAAAGTCTTCCTGCAAGGGCAGTGATGGCGCAAGCTGCGAGAATAAATAAATACATGAATAAATAAGTAAAATGCCAATTATGTATGTACATTTCATTATATATGCAGAATAACAAAAAAAAAACAGACAGATTTCAATTAATTTCTATTTATTTCTAGCTTTTCTAAAGCCTTCAACTCCAATTCTGGGCGTAATGGCGTTTTTAATTTGAGGATGCTACCTGCTAGTGTTCCTCTGCGCCAAACACACCTGATTTAACTAGTCAGCTGAGTAATCGAGTTGAAGCGGGAGTGTAAGAGCAGGGAAAACACTAAAGCGTGCGGGACAGTGGCTGCTCCTGTAGCAGGGTCAGGAACCTGTGCTGTACTCATCCGTTTATAAAAAGGGTTCAGTGGATATAATATGGATGATGGATAATTCTCAGCACAGCACTGAGACACACACACACACACACACACGATGGCATGAGTGTATCAGGTGCAGCAGCAATTATGAGCTTTTTGAACACTTTTCTCTGAATACGCTCACACTTACTGGTTGCTTTATAAAACACACTGGTGCCACTTGTGTGTGTGTGTGTGTGTGTGTGTGTGTATCGTCATGAAGTCCAAACTTCACTGGAGAACTGTCTCTCAGCCCAGCATTACCACTGAGATGTTTAAAAGCTTAACCAGCTGTTTACATACCATTTAAGTACTGTTTTCTTCATTTTATTCACTGTATTAGTGCATTTTATTCTAAATAAACAAATACATACATGTTTTTGGAAGACTTGTCAACTGCATGTAAGAATGATACAACGTTAAGACACTGTTTACAAATTGTAGCACGTTAGCTAGCTAGCTAAAATGCTAGCAAATCAATTACTTAGCTTCTCTTGTTTAAACACACGGTTATGATTTTTTTTTTTTGGTAATTATGCTTCATTCCCAATACAGTAACGCTGCCCATGATAATTTAACTACCTAACGTTAGGCAGCTAGCGCAGCTAGTTAGCCAGTTAGCCAGGCCCGAGCTGAACTGCCTGGACAATAACATTAGCTAATCATGCACAAGCTAAAGAAAAATATTGCCTAATTAACGCTGGTTCACTCTCAAATAACTCATTCGCGTCCGTCGATTAGCTAGCTTGTTAACTCAGTAGTGACGACACACATGGCCACATACCTAATGTTCTATAACTAACTAACTAACTAACTAACTAACTAAGTTAACTAAAAAGACAGGCAGCTTAGTTAGGTTTGTAGCCACATCTAGCTTGGCGTCTACGTAAACAAGCTAGATATGCTAGCGTATAGCGTAGACGGGAAATATTGGCTAATTAACGTTGGTTCAGTCTCAAATAGCTAATTACTCTGTGCGCTCTCCAAGTGGACGACATAGAATACAAACTAATAACTCGTACACCCTATGTAGTGCACTACATGTAGTAAATACGGCACTATTTGGGATTCAGCCTGTGACTCACTGGCGTTTAACCTCCGAATTGCTAACTTGTTAACTAGATTTCCAAATAGATAACGAAATAAGTTAGTAGTGACTACGACCTTAGTGATACACCGTTCCATTACTAACTAACTAATTTTTGAAGTTAATTAAATAAACAGAGAAAGCAGGCTTGTAGTCATATCTAGCTTGGAGAAAGCTACGTCAAGGTAAGCTAACCAGGTAGCCTAAGGCTAGTTTGCTAGTTTCGGTTAGCTAGCTAGGCCCTCTGTCCTGACACACAGAGCCACTCGGGCTTTGTCCACACGCTGTCCTTTAACACCAACATTTCACAAGAAGACAAAAAGCTCACCGCTTCCACCGCATGCTGCAGGATCGAGGTGAATTTGGAGAACATCTTGTTCTTGGACTGGACAAGTTTTTCGCGAGAAGACCGAGAGAATTCCTCTATCTTCTTCTTTCTGTTTCCGCCGCCGCGATCCAGATTGCAGCTTTCATAAAGCGACCTTTACGCGGGAAAAAAAAAAAAACGAAACAAACTCTGAAAACTAGGCGCTTAAATCCAAACACGTGTTTATTTCAGTAAACAGCCAGACACACACACACCTTTGCCAGCTAAAGCCACCGTGGCGTTTTCATGGCCAAAAAGCAGGAATCAGTGCTACAGAGCAGCAGCAGAGGGAGCCAGTGAGCTCGGGAGTGCTGTGTGCCTGTGCGCGGACTATGGCTCGATTCCAAATACCTTCATCCTGCCTATATAAGTGCACTATATAGGGTTTGAAATGATGACTTTTACATCAGAGTGCACTACAAAACAAGTGTACTAGGCAGTCATTTGGGATTCAGGCAATGAAAACGCACAAGAGTGAAGAACTATAATTTTTTTTTTTCTGTATTTTTTCCCGGATTATATAATGATATTTTCACTTAAATCGAAATGTTATGAAGTAAAATTTTGGAGGAATATTTGTTATTTGTAAATAATCTCTATATACACTTTAAACAACGCACACACCTTTATATAATACAATTTTATATAATATATAATAAATGTAATCATTTAGGTTGCTTCGACACTTAAGACACTACAGGCAAAAACAAGAATATGGCCAAAATAAATCATTTGTCAGATTTATTATTATTTTTTTATTGTTATTATTATATAAATGACACCTATAAAATGTCTTCTCTTTAACTATAGTAATAAAAAATATCAAAACTCAACTCCACTATCTAGGGTGGAAACATGTCACCTTTTCCCTCAAATGGAGTTTTTTCTCTCTATTCAGAACCAAAAAACTGCTTCTCAGTTTTATTTCTAACCGTAAACACCAGGATATTAAAGAGGAATGTCTCAGAATGATTACAATTGGATTTATGTTAGATTTTACACTGAAAATAACAAAAAATATATATTTTTTTAAATAACAGTGCACAATATTTTCTTGATGAAACTATAAAGAAATGAAAATGAAAATGCATAAGAGTGAAGAATTATTCATGCTTTTTTTTTTTCATTTTTTCCATGATTATATAATGATATTTTCACTTAAAGTTTTATATTTTCACATAAAATTATGCATATTTCATGCATATTTACTTAGATAAAGCCTCATTTGCATAAATACATGTCATTTTGAAAAAAAAAAAAGTTCCAATACAAAAACACTTCAGTCAAATAGTGATTGTTTGTTTGTTTATTTATTTATTTATTTAAAACATTACCCCATTCATCTGCACGTGAGACTTGCACACTGAAGGGACGTCAGAGTCAGAAAAATATTCAAGGAGGAAACACAGCACATCCCAAATGACTTCCTGTTATACACATAGTGCCCTAGGTAGGGCGCACTAGGTCACGATTTCGTACCCTACGCAGTTGACATCCATATGAAGCACGGAGTCATTTGAGCTTCATGTGATTTGAGGAAGAAAAAAAACTGTCTGAATCCTAAACGCGAGTGATTCTAGTAAACAAGGGCACTATACAGGGTGCAGAAGCTATTATGTGACCTCTTACAGAGTGAGCCTAGGTAGGGAGTAAGGAAGGATTTGAGATTGAGCCAAAAGCAAAGCACCGCCAGGTTCACCGTGGTACTGCTTGCGTACGCAGAGAGCGAGTGGAAGGGAAAATGTCAGCCGTGCCTGACGGCAAAAAGCTGGTGCGAAGCCCGAGCGGACTGCGCATGGTGCCGGAGAACGGAGCGTTCAGCAGCCCGTTCTCTTTGGACGAGCCTCAGTGGGTTCCGGATAAAGAGGTAGGAAGCGAATTAGCCGTGCTCTCTCAACTCCACTTCTTTGGGCGTTGTTGTTGTTTTGCTAATTGGAGCTAGCAACGCTGGCTACAACTTCTGTTCACCAGACCCCATTCTTCAGAAGAGATTTTCCTGTCGTGTCTCATTAGCTAACTGCCTAGCTTTAGTTTTCGAAGTAGATATTTAACTAAATATGCGAACAGTATTTTGCGAATAAGTCCTGGCTAGTTAGCTAACAGTTGACCGACAATAACTGTCAAAAGCGACTATAACTGGACTCTAAAGTGTGACATTTCAGGCAAATACTAGATACTCTGACAGCATGACTTCAGCCTTGAATTTGTTTGAAACTTTATACTCTATACTTTACATTAAATTGTTTGAAAATTTAATTGCAGTAAAATACCGTGATTTAAATGGTGTTTTCTGCGCATGCGTACTTCACCTTATTAAAAAAAAAAAATCATATTTCTTCATTCATCTGGATTGTGGTGCATCTGGAGCCAGGAACATTGGGCGTTGAAAACACACACACACACACACATACACATTCAAACACATTTACACTGAGAGGCAGTTTAGAGAGACCAGTCCACATGCTGGGATGTATTAGGGAGGAAATGCACATCGACACGAGGAGAACATGCTGAGAAACTTCACGCAGAATGTAATTTGAGCTCAGGATCAAACTGGTGACCCTGAAACTTCCTAGATGATGATGATGATCTTCTTTCGGCTGCTCTCGTTAGGGGTCGCCACAGCGGATCATTGGTCTTCATAGTTGATTTGGCACAGTTTTTACGCCGGATGCCCTTCCTGACGCAACCCTCCATGACTTTGTCTAGGCTTGGGACCGGCACTGGGAGTGCACTTCCCTTGGCTGGGGTTGGTTCCCTGGCTGCGAATCGAACCCAGGCCACGGTGGCGAGAGCCCCGAGGCCTAACCACTAGTCCTCCAGGGACCCGCAACCCCTGTTTTGTGCTCATAACATAGGCTATTAAAATATCCTACTTCTAGTTGTACTGATACAGTAGAATAAATAGCAGTATTGTTTTCCAGAGACCTATAAATGTGTGCTAGGGTGGGACAGTTTGCCCACAATACGAATTTTTAGTTTATTAACCATGACTTGTATTTTTTATAGTTAGATTTACATGCAGCTATAAACAGCCGTTTCCTCACCAGCCATTTATTTGTGCCTTGCTGTTTCAGTGTCCCAGATGCATGCAGTGTGACACGAAATTTGACTTCATCACCAGAAAAGTAAGTAGTAAGAGGATGTTTGTTTTTCTCTTAAGTGTCATGTCCATGCAGAGTGGATTCGTT